CAGGGGCTGGGGGGGCTCGGACGGGCGGTAACGGTGCTGGGCTGCGGGCTCGCGGGGCCGGTAACAGTACTGCCATTCTTTTTGCAGGAGACTACGTGGTAACAATTGAAGAGAAAAACAAAGCAACTTTCCTAAGAGCATATACAAACTGGAGATGCATGTCATCTGGGAGCCCTCGTGTGTGTGTCCGGATGGTGGGTCACAAGATGGAAGAGTCATATGGTGAAACCTTGAAAGAGCAGATGTCAATTGTGGAAATGCCACTTTCGGATCCTCCACTGTGCATTTCATGTTGTCCTGTAAATGGAAACCTTCTTGTGGGCTGCAAGAATAAACTGGTGATGTTCAGTTTGAAATACCTGGTCATAAATCAAAACTTGACTGTTTTGGATTTTGAACGCTCCTTAATTTTACACATTAATAATATAATTCCTGCAGAAGTTGCATTTTGTGCCAGCTATATAGCCATAACAACGGAGCTGGATGTCCTGATCCTGAAACTGGAGCTGGCGCAACAAGATACAGACAGCGTGGGACAATGTACACATGGCGTTAGTACACTGCAGGCGCCTGTGGACAGAGGTAAGTGAAAAATGTGTGTGAATGTACATATACATATATATATATATCTGCTAGAATCTGTGAACTGATTGTTTTTACTCTCAAAGTGGCTCCATCAAGATTGTTGCCCCTCAAAAAAAAATTCCAGGTAGCCTTAGGACCGTTAGCTTGAATGTATTAGGGTATGTTGTACTGTCTGTAGTTAGAGCTAAGGCCTAAAACAAATATGCCTTTGCAGATACTTGCAGGATAGTACAAGCTCTGTAGCCACAGGATTATGTCTCTTCTGTGATGTCATCAAAGGCCGCATCATGGAATCACAGAATGGTTAAAGTTGGAAGGGACCTCTAGAGGTCATTGAGTCCAACCCCCCTGCACACGCAGGGTCACCTAGAGCACGTGGCACAGGACTGCGTCCAAGCGGGTCATGTGGAACTTAAGGAAAAATTTCTTGGCAGTGAGGATGAGAGAGCCCTGGAGCAGGCTGCCCAGAGAGGTTGTGGAGTCTCCTCCGGAGATCTTCAAAATCGCCTGGATGCCACCCTCTGTCCCGTGCTCTAGGTGACCCTGCGTGTGCAGGGGGGTTGGACTAGGTGATCTTCAAAGTTCCCTTCGAACCTTTAGCATTTTGTGTTTAAGTAAGAGAGTTTTTATGGCAATGCATGTGCACTTCTGTACCTATTTTCGAGATCAGAACCAGGATGAGGAGGAAGTAAGCAATGTTCCTTTTCAGTATTTTGTCTTCTTTTGGGGTTTGCCATAAACTCTTAGAAAATCTAGAAATATATTACTACTTAGCTAGTAGGCTGTGTTTTCCCATATTGCAGGTAATCCATGCCTGTATAATTACCTGTATTTCTAAAAAGATGAAACAAACATCTACAAACTTAAGAAAAAATGTTATTTGTAATTGAAAAAAAATTAAAAAGAAGATGAGTTTCTTTTAGAAGTGGAAACTTTACCTAGAAAAAAAAATGCAGAGTTAAAAAAAAAAAAAAAAAAAAAAGGTTTTTCTGGTAGGGAGAGTGCAAGCTGGAATATTCCTCATTGACAGAAGACAAATCTTAATTCAGAGAATAGTTTCATACCTCTGTGCTTTTTTTATTATTATTACTTAAAATTGTATTACTTAAAATTTAGGACTTGTTTTCCAGAGCATAAGTGAGTTTAAGAAAACCCAGCATTCTGTCATAGCTGCCTTTCCCAGTTTAAAACCTTTCTGATTATCCATGGCTTTTTCTTACTTGATAGCTTGCCAGACAGAGCAGGTTATTTCATTCATGCCTTATATTGAGCAGTTTACCTGTTTTTTCATGACTCTTGACTTCTAGGTGTTATGACAGTTGAGGTTTTAAATGAAAGATTGTTCCTGTCTTTAGGCCCAGCTCTCTTCAAGTTCTAAGAGTTTGAATGAGCCTGCTAATTAGGCAGCTTCAACTGGAGTGTTTAATTGTGTCACCTCAGTTTCTTACTGGAACTGGTTTGAACAATGAATGCGGCGTTTTCATTGTTAAGGTATGAAAGACGATGGTCCTCCAGCACATACTGTGCAGCTTGAGTCAGATGAGTTTGTCATCTGTCAGAAGCCAGTGGAACTGCTTGGGGAAGAAAGTAAGTTATGTGAGATACCCATCGTGCTGGAATCAACAGGATTAGCTACAGAAGGTTCAGAGTACTTCCAAGTGCGGTATCTGCTTTTCAGGTATTAAAAATGCATTTTCCTTTTGTAGGCTGTATGTCCATGTATCCTACTACTTCTCACAAGCCAAGATGGTCAGTTCATAATTTTTTGAAAGTATGACTGAAAAGTTAAATTTTTTTTGAAAGTATGATTTGACTTGGAGACTATTTATAAAGGGTATTGCACTGTGTAAATGCTGACATGCCAAAAAGGTGACCCATTTTTGGCCCTGTGTAGCCTAAGACTTATTTTGTTTGAGGAATGCGACCACTTATTCTCCTTGAAATGAAATTGAGCTTTAATGGTTTTGCAGTTTTGATGATGCTTAAACAATGTCTGCTTTCCATCTTGCCTGCTTGTTGTATCCTGCAAAGAGCATTTATGGCAGCTCTTGTGAGATATCAGGAGGAGTTGCCTTTTGTAAGCATAATTTTCGTACTTGTTTGCCTGTTGAGCCCCCAAAACCAAGTTTTACACATCTTATTGCAAAGGAGTTACTGTTTAGAGAAGGCTGCTTTAAAGGATAACATACAAGAAAACCAATAGTCCTTTTGAAGCTGGAGATTGTAATCAAGGCACAGCTGGCCAAACTTAGGTTTTATTTATGCTGTAGCCTTCATCAGCTTCAGCTGAAGTAATACCTATTCAGGTACATCTAAAAGAAAAATCTCCCTTTGTCCATCTGGAAGAAGAGAGTTTATCAAATACCTTAAGCACTAAGAAACTACACTATTTTGTTAGTATCAAAACCATTAAACATTCATTCAAAGTTGAAGAATAATCAATGTCACAGTCCAGTAGTGAATTTCAAAGCAAAGCAGAAAAAGGAATGACACATTAAGTAATAGGGAGGAAATCCATGACTGAAGATGGACTGTTATGTATGGTTCAGTTGAATAAAAGGGGGAAAAAGACTCAATTTATCTTGCAATGAGTGTAAAATTTAACATGCAGTCATTTTGATTTTTGATTGCAAGCATTTGGTATAGTTGTCTCTATGTGAGAACATGCTTGTGAGCATTGCCATGGTAATTAGATGAAGAGTAGGCAGAGTGTCAGGGGAGTTCAGTAGCGCACAGCAACAGGAGTATTAAAACTTCAGCTACGGCTATTATTGCTGCTTGCTTGTCCAGAGTACCTGGGAATGTTTTTTTTCACCAATATTCCCTGTTGTTGTTTTGGCTTTTTCTTTCCAGACGGTTTACACCTGATCAGTCACCTTTTGGCTTTTGTGAAGAGACGAAGTTGCACTCTCTTCAGCTGCTTCCTATGTACCAGACAGGTAGATGCATATTCATGTCTGCATTATGGTCTGTGTCACAAGAGACATGGGAAAGGGAATATAGGTCTTTTGGACCCTGTTCCAGTCAGAATGTCAGAATATTTTTTATTAAGGTCTTTTATTCTTCCCTTTTCGTAATTTACACTGAGCTTCCGTTAACAAAAAATGTTGACATTTCTCTGAATTCTGTAGAAACCTTAAAATAAAATGTCAGGCCACCATGTCGAAAGAAGTCATCTAGATCTGTTCTTATCAATTCTGTACTTATTAATTTTACATCACAAAATGGCCACTTTTGACATTGCATGAACGTATTTATCCTCATTGTTATCATGAGATCCTACAGCACTTCTCATTATTTTTAGCAGTGGTAATCACTGGTAATTGTTAATACACAAGTTTCCTGTTAACAACAGAAGAGGATAGATTCGAAGCTTATGGGTTACTAACACACACTAGCTTAGGCCTCAGCAGAAACGTCAAAAAACTTAATCCGTTACCTTTACTAGCTGCCTGCTTATTTTTGTACCTGTTCTGTTAAATAGCAAACCCTCTTCCAAGTCACAGCTGACCTAACCGAATGATTTACTTGCCATTCAGCTCCAGCTAACTGACGTTTTGTTGTGATTTAGTTTTCAGTAAGAGAATCTGTAGAATCTGGACATGGCTTTTACTTCCCAAATCAGCTTTATAAGTAAAATTTATAAATAAACTCATGAGGACTTGTATGTGATCAGGGCGGCCATTCGGTCTATGGGCACCTAGTTGTGACTAGTCTGCCTAGACTCCTACATGCTGTTACATCTGTGGAGTTTCTTCACTCAGTGACACATCCACTCTCTTGTTAGAATTGCCTTCAAATGAGATTGCTTACGACTTGCAAATTAAATGTATTTCAGACCTGTACACTGATGCTCATACAGTTCTCTTCTGTATCTAATAACAAAACCAAGCTGGAACTTGATGCAGGTCTGTTTATCTTTTAGGATAACAAAGTAATTGCAAGGTTTTGATTTATCGGCTATATGAAATGTCTTTTTTATTGTTACTTCTAGGAAGTTCTGTGACAGCCCATGGAGAAACAAAGAACAAGAGAGAGCTATTGAGTCTCTTTTGCTTTTTCTCTTTACCTTATGTTGGATATCTCTACTCTGTTGGGAAGTTAGTAGAACTGATCTCTACTTACCAATATTCAGAGAAGTCAGAGCAGGCAGTTCTCACTCCACAATTCCTGCATGTCATTACAAGGTACTGTGTTTATGAATTTGCTAATGATATCACTACCATTCTGTCTGCTTTTTTCATTGTCTCTAAAATACAGCCTTCGTAGCCTCTCCTGAAATCTCTGGGTAGGTTTATATGATAGCACAGCACAGCTTCCAGCCTGTGCTTCTAGGCCCATTTAAGGAAAAATACCTGATTCTTTGAACTCTTTGCTAGTCAGTTACTGCCAGTCTAACTTTTTCTTCCTTTGTTGTTGTTGTAATCAATGTAGTTTCTTTTTTCCCCTTTAGTGAGAGCTTACAGTGTTTCACAGTGCGATGCAGTGCAGCAGCAGCTCGTGATGAGGATCCATACATTGATACAACTGTGAAGGTGCACTTTGTTGTCTTGTACTCGGTGAAAAAATTAAAAATACAAACAGTAGTGTGGCGCTTAGTTTCCTTACAGTTTCTTTCACTATGCTTTCCTTTTTTGGTTGAAACAATAGAATAATATCTATAACTACTATTTGACTTTAATTTGTGACAAACTGCATTCTCATGGTCTACAAATATATCAGTGAAACACGCACAGAATCACAGAATGCTTAGGGTTGGAAGGGATATCTGGAGATCATCTAGTCCAACCCCCCTGCACAATCTACTATTGCCTTTTAAGAGCTAGAATATTAGTAGAATGTTTCCAAATCCACTAAAAGCTATAAAGAACATATATTTTAGACCAAATTCCATGCTTTGTTTACCCATCGGAAAGAAGAGTGCACAGTTTTCCTTTATTGCAGCTGATGGTGTCTGTAGAGCCTATGCATCTTGAAGCCCCTGTTCTGTTCTTTCCCCGCCCAGGTGTACTTCAAATGTATGTTTTTGTAAGAACGGTACAGACCTTTGAACAGGTCTGTTTGGCAGATACTTAGGGTGTTTTTTACAGAAGGCTTTTTATCTTTTGCAAGTGTAGACTTTTCCACTTTCTCACATTACTTATCTGTAAGAACAGGATAAATGTCAATAAAAACAGACTGAAATAGATTTTAAGTTAGTATGTGAGATTTTTCTTTGGACATGTAGACAGAGGACATGAAAACTTTACAATATCTCTATCATGCTGTGGTTTTAAGTGATAAACCCATATTCAGAGCTGTCCGGGTCTGTTTCTGTCTGGCTCATGACGGTTTCTGGCCTCGTTCCAGACCAGGCACAAGTTCGGACCCCTGCTTCTTAAACTTAGGAACGTTTATTCAGTGCAGTGGTGTGAGTAACAAAGTTTACAAAAAATTCTAAGCTTTCTTGAAAAATGTTAATATTTAAATGCAGTATTTTACCTTCTTAAAGCTATAAATTCGGAATGTATTGGACAAATAAGGTTGCATCTTTACTTTTGTAGCTTAGCTTCTTGTGGAGGATATGGTAAATCTTGGCTGAAAAGCACATATTGAACAAATCAAAGTTGAAATTCAGGAAGTAGAAATATATTCCCTTGCTTATTGTTACAGCTATAGTTACGTAATATATTATAGACAACTGAAATGGGACTTCTTAGGCTATGTTAGGCAATCTTTTACAACTTGGTCACATTCATTTAAGTGGTCCATGTTAGGTACCAAACTCAGGCTTAGTTATTTTGAGACAAAGCTAGAGCTGCATCTGCAGTTGCCAAGTCTGACTGAAGTTAAGCACTCAAAGTTGGGGAAGAGTAAATATTGTTGTATCGTATTATTGGGCATAAAAATACATTTTTTTTTCCTCACACGTCTTTTAATTTAGAGTCAAAGTATACATTAGTTGAAATTACAGAACAGTTGGTTTTCTTCATAGGCTTGTCCACCTGTGTCACTAGATGTCTGCACATTAAGAATGCAGCTTTTTATAGGACCAAGAGCTATCTGTCATTTCAAGAACCATGTAATACTTCTGATTAAGGCTGACACAGAAGATATTACTGAAAGAAGAAAACCTACAAGGAGGATGCTGTAAGGATTTGTGTCTTTGAGCGAGATGTCTATGTGTTCAGTGTTGAATTTCTGGGTGTTGGAGTTGGAAGGAGGATCCTCTGTGAAAAGGTGGTTCTGGAAATGTTCACAGAACAGTAGATAAGAACAGAGGTTGAGCATACATAGGTAAATAGATTTTGGGGGGGGCAGTGGGGGCAAAGGGCAGTGGATGAGAACAGAAATTAAGCATTGAGTTTTGAATTATGTTGCATTAAATGACATGGAAGAAATGAGGGAGGACGGTTGAAATCACAAATGGCTGAAATCAACCAAATAAGTTACTCAAAATACTGAAAAGCTGTAACTTTCATGACTAATGTTAAAATAACATTTCTAAGAACGTATCTGTTATTCAAAAGAAAAATACTTCTCTTGAGAAAGAAAAATAATATGACTACTAAAGTTGCAGGCTAGCAAAACATGTTGTAGCACAAAATGAAGACACACTGTCTTCTACTACTTATATTTTTTCAAGGTTCATAGTTGGCATTTTAGGAAGAAATGTTTTCTACCTCCTGTAAAGTTAATCAGTTGAACAAGTGCTAGTCTACTTAACACCATAATTAAAAAAAAAAAAAAGATTAAATATTAGTAAAATACCGAAGACGAAGAGTCTGTCATTTCCTACGGTATTTTAACCTTAAGGCATTAAACGTGTTAGACTAAAACAATGTGTTAGACTAAAAGCACACTTTAATGGAGCTGCAGGAGTAAAAGTACAGTAAACCTTACAGAAAATAAGTATACATCTTGATTAATTTATTACTCATCTTTGTGGAAGTATATAATACTATCTGATGTTAAAACACAGGTGAAGATGTACTTGATGGTACTTGATGGTTCCTAACCATGCTGTCTCTGGTTTATGAGCATGCATGTCCACTGAGTTATTAAACATTATTATTTAAATTCACAACGTAATTTTCAAGTGTTCAAACATATTTATTTATGCATTTAGACTGTCAAATCATGGCTCATTTTTTGTCTGCATAATGTTTATTTGGACACTGAAAACTCATTTCTTCTTTCTCTCTAGTTCTAGAAAGACTGGCAGCATCAAATCCAGAAAAAACTCTGATTCAGAATCTGGCTGGAATTTATATATTATAAACACTGTTTCAACTATCCAGCTTTATAGAGAAATGGTATTGTCCAGTTCCTGCATTTGTTGTTTGGTGACTGAAGTATTGTAATATAATCTCTCCATTTTATTGCTACATATACTGTAATGTATTTTTCATGGGTAGTCCATATGCTGTTTCACATGGCTGCTCTCCTCTTCTCCTCTCTAGATTTGTTCCTGTATATTCTTTATTTCTGCCAAAGACCTAAATATCTGCTATATCTGTTTTAGGTGGATTATAGTAGAACATATGAAAACATAAAAACTGAGAGTTGCATCCATCTTCTCAGTGAAGCTCACTTATTAGTCAGAGCAGCTGTAATGGACCCTGGTTTCCTTAAAGCAGATGATAAAGAAGAACTTCTAACAGCATTTAGAGAAAGCTGTGCTTTCCTAGGAGACTGCTACAGCAGGTATATGTTTTGGATGTCAGTGATACAGGTGCACTTTTGTTTCTATTAATGCAACCCTGAAAGTTAAAATATATTATTGTTCAGTATTCTATCTTAGCACTTTTATTCTACCAAAACAACTTACTGGTTTTCTATTCAGCATGTCTAGATATTTGAAGGTATTTGTGTGTGCAGTTTTGACTGGTGCATTATTTTAGTTCTTAAAAAGATCAGTGGCAAAGCTGTTGCCCTTAACTTCATTTTACCCCTTCCTCTGTTTTTTTCAGGTTTGACACAAAGGATTACCACCTTGCATTGCCTTACTACAGAATGTCTGGTTTATCCATGACGGAAGTTTTAGAGCGAGTAGTTTCACAAGGTGATGAAAAACAGAAATATGAAAGAGGATTTCTGTTTTACTTAACTCACTCTCTTAATGAAGACTTAAATGAAGAATTAAGTCAGGTAGGAAAAAGACTTTTTTTAATCTACTGGTTAAGTTCTAATTTTGAGAACTAATTTTACTTTATAATTTTGTGTGTCAAATTTTAATTAAAGTTTCCTTTGAAACAGCTGGGCTCTACTACTGTTCTACTTCTTTTTTTTTTTTCCTCTTCCTTTTTATATTTACAAAAGAGCAAGCAATTTCAGTTAACTGTAAAAAGAAAATTCTGGTACTTCTGACCACTGTCAAGGAGTGTATTTGCTACTGAGATGCATGTTGCTAATGATCTGGCTCCCAGTTACACCTGGAGATACTTCTATGCTAGGAAAGTTTATCAAATTTCTATCATCCCCCATTTCTTTAAACGCTCATTCCTGTAGCAGAGCAAACTCTTATTTTGAACGCTGACAAACTGTACAGATTTGTAAAACTGATTCACTGTGGTGGATGTTCTCTCATCCACCAGAGAATGGACTGATTTGCTCTCAAACAAAGTTCCTTTACTTTTACTGGGAAGGTAGGAGGCAGGATTTGATAGCTCTGATTTGATAGCAAAGTCGTTTGTCTCTCTCTACATGCTGTTTCATATGCTGTGAAAGACTGTATATCTGGAAAGGTTGAAGCGGTTAAATGGCTTTTTCTTTTTAATCAGGAATTGACGACCAAAGTTCTCCAAATATTCTACCTTACTGAACCTGTCCAGCTGCCACATATCATCTGCACTCCCTGCATGAGGAATGTATGTCCTTCAACAGCTATGAGTTACCTTCAGAAGATAGAAAAGATTGTGCCATCAGTGGTCCTGACGCTTACCAAGGCTTTCATGGCTCTGAAAATGGGAGACCTGATGATGTATAAGCATGAGATGGACTCCTATAAGGAGGTAAGATGCTTAAAGCATGAGCTATTCACCCCTTTTTAAGTAGTGTGAATAGTTCTTGGCTTGTGGTTGTGTTTTACCATGAGAGTCTTTCAGTCACTCTTCATTTTCCTCCTGATATGCTGTGTAGTCTCCACTGAATGTCTGCAAGGACAGACCTGGGCTTGAGGGCTGGCATATGCTGGGACTGTACAGTTCACCTTGCAGCAAGAGTAGTCTTATCCTGGCAGAGTCTTACCAAGTGTGCAGAATTTACAAAACTATTAATTCTTGCTAAGCTAAGTGCTGTTTACTGCAGTGTAACAGGCTCTGCAGAGCCAACATGGCAGGCTTATATAGCAGCGTTCTTCCACCCTTTGGTTGACATGCCCATGAAAACTTAGCTGTCTGTGCTAACAGCCCTTGAGAAATTGCTCTTGAGAAGAATGTCCTTAGTGCACACGAGCCATGATTTCTGTATCTATTTAATATACATAATTTCCCATCTTCTAGGGCAGTCAAGGCACTCAGCCTCTGTACAGATTGCATCAGAATAGACATTAGTGATAACAAAGTAAGAACTCCTAATCGGTAGAAAAAATATTGTTAGTGAAGCCGTCCCTATCATGTGTGTTCCCATGTGGTTTCAGATTGAGACCAATCTTTAAATTACATGTTAAGATTAATTGCGTGTGGAGGGTGGTTGGACTAGAACTCTAGAGGTCCTTTTCAACCTTAATGATTTTATGATTAGGACAGTTGAATATTTCCATGTTACAGAGCTTGAAGTGCACTGTCTTCCTGAGAGTAAGCTGATGGTATTTTAAGAGCTTTTTAAATAAATTGATGGTTGTTCCAAGGTTAAATATCAAAATAGGAGAAGCTCAGGGGAACTTTCAGGATTAGTAATGCACTCCATGGTTTCCAGCCTTACAATTCAAGCTCTATCAACAGCAGGGGTATTTAGCATCACCTGCTGTTTTAGGCATACACAGCCAGTTCAAGGGAAATGGCTGTGTTAGGTGCAATACACATTCTATCACAGTGTGTAGGAGTGAAGAATGAGAAAGGGTCTTAAAAAGAAAGCACGTGTGGGAGTACCATATTAGAAGAATGTTTGCAGCTCATCTGTAAAAAGCTTTTTACTGGGAACTTGAGAAAAATACAACTTTTCAGGAAATAAGGAAAAACAAGTTGCATGCATAGGCATGTAAAAATCTGAATTTTGTTTCTAGATGTACCTTATATTTTCTGTGTATTTTGCTTAATTTGTTTAGGTGTAATTTCCCAGAGAGAATCACAGGATGGGTGAGGTTGGACAGGACCTTTGGAGATCATATAGCCCAACCCCACTCAAGCAGTGTCACCTGGAGCACATTGCACAGGATTTTGTCCAAATGGCTTTTGAATATCTCCAAGGAAGGAGACTCCAAAAACTCTCTGGGCAACTTGCTGCAGTGCTCAGTCACCAGTGTCTTTAAAACAGAAATAGTATCTTGTCATGTTTACAATCAAAAGCAGTTGAAACTCAAGAAATTACTTAGTACAGCACATTTTGATCATTGTTTCAAGGGTATTTTCAAATCATACTTCAGCAAAGTAGTCCTACTGAATTTCCATTCATTGACTTTCAAAACATCTTGTTGACTGACTGGGATTTTGTAATAAAACCCTTTTATGTGCATAGTAGCTCCACATAACTCAAAACAGCATGGTACTTCCAGTGTTCAGTGCAATAACATAACATTTAGCAGCCAGTGTTCAGCACATAGATTAGAGGTTGGTCTCTGGAAAGCTTTCCTATAAGTTGTAGAGAGAGCATTTATTTTCTTCCACCAGCTCTCCTTTTATTTCATCTGCAAGCTTGATTGCCAGAGCAAATACTGAGTTTGGTGGGTCAATTGGTATGTGGATTGAATTCTTCACCTGATTTATCTCTGTGTCCGCAGACAATACTGGCCTTTGGCTTCGTTGGGCAGCCAAAACTCTTGAGACAGCATAAGGAAGGAATTGTTATTCCGACTGAATTTTCTGTTCATCTGAAGGAGACACAACCTGGGTTACTGGTGGCTGCCATTGTGGCTTTATATGAGAACAGTAAAATGGAACTGGAAGAAGCAGATACCTTTTTCAAGGTTAGACTGTGATTATTTTTTTTCTTTTATTTTTCTCATAGTTATGCTGGCTCAGGCTGCTTTGCTCATCAATATTGTTGTTCCCACACATTACAAGGTTTCTTCTGAAAGAGAGGAATGGAGGTGGCCAGTTTTGCTAGATTCATTTTAATGGCTTTTTTAAAGCTACTCTGAAGTCAATTAAATATTAGAGATTGATATACCTGACACATCAGATGTTAAAGGCCTGAAGCATCTCCCCTGTGGGTCTTACCAGTACCTGCAGGTGAGCTACACAATATTGACTTATTGCGGGCTTTCCTTCCATTAAGATGTTTCTTTAGAAGGTGCCTGCTTAGCTGTTGATACATTGAAATCTTCAGTTTAGCAGGTCTGTAAATGCATGTTGAATAAATGATTTCTAACAGTGGAGTCAGTCTCCAAGAAGAAATCAAATAACATAATTCAGGCTGGATTGTATTAAAATCATTCCAAAACCTTTTTACTTTGCCTATCAGTGTGTTATGTAAAATCATACTCATTAGAAGTGCATCAGAACACAAAGCAACCACTGCCTCTGCTAAAAAAGTGAGAAACTGTTATTCTTGTTTCCTCTAACTACTGCTCTCAATAGTTGCCATATTCTGTGCTAACTTGCTAGTTTTTGTTTTGTTTTTTTGTTCTTAGACATTGTGCAATAGCAGTGAAAACACTGTCCCTCAGCTCTTAGTAGATTTTTGGGAAGCTCTTCTTGTAGTATGCTCTCAGGAAGAAGTGCTTCAGGAACTCTTGCTGAGGTTAATTTGTCAGTATGTTTGGAGAATATCAAAGAGGAAATTTCCTGAAACCAAACCACTGAAAACAACAGAGGATCTGGTAAGTACATCTGTGCACTCAGAGAAAGTTTTTATGATTTCATAATCCAGGCAAAGTTCATTCAAATACTGTCTTGAGTAATGTAATTCTGGACAGTTGTTTGAAAGGTGCAACACGTAACGTTGTGTGGACTTAACCAAATGGATATTCTTGTTTCAGGTCAATTTTACTATTTGGGTACGTTTACAAGTAAACTTTCAACAGGAATTTCAATTCTGGACAGGAATAAGGGCTTAAATGAAAAAAAAAAAAAAAAAAAAAAGGCAGTTTGTTCAGTGGACTGTTTCAAATTTTACAAAACTGACTCAATGAGAAAATCTGTGAGTGGATTACTATAAAGTTTTCTGAATTATAAATCTGGAATACAGAACTAAGTTGAAGTAACTTTTCAGTTTATTCTTTACTCAGTAATATGAACCAAAAGAAAAAACAACTGCTCTTCTAAAGTACGCTACTTGAGAATGGAATTTTCTTCACTTGGAGCGGGTTTCACATTGATCTGTAACAGCAGAAAATTTTCTGATACTAAAACTTCTTTCTTGTATAGATAAATTCCTGTAATCATTTCGGGTTGATTTTCCCTTGGGTAACTTTCATAATGGCAGTGGGATCTCCCTTTGATCAAGATTATCCTGAAGATATCTCAAAACTACAGGTATGAAACCTTTGCAGCTTACACCTGTTCTGCAAATGATCATTTGTGTTTGAATCTATCTATAGTGGTGGGAAAAAAACACAAAACTTGCATTGTTGGCACTTCAGCCTTGCTCAAGGAAAACTGCAGGGTTGAGGTCTTTTATTAGTGTCTACCGAACACTCAAACTGTACTGCCATGTATAATAATAAAGCTGTTTCTAGGATAAGACTTCTGTTATCCAACTTGAGCTAAAAGACGCATTGAATTACAGAAGAAAGAAATACCTCAAGGATATGTCTGTAACAATGATATATTCATTTACAGTCTATTCCACACTTACTTGCCCAGTTATCAGTAACTGTCATTAAAGGTAATATTATTTTAAAACTGTTACAGTAAGTGAAAGTGAAAACTTTTGTTTTAAAAGTGTGGCTAATTTTTCCAGCAAAGTTTGACTTAAATCCACAAATAGCTTTTCTTCTTGTTTTCAGTCTATTTTATGTAGTCAGTCAATCAATGTAGCTTCAGCTCTGCCTTTCTTGGAGCCTCTGTCAGAGGATGGCAATGCTGGCCTCACCATCACTGTTCTCTGCAGTACGCGTCTAGGAAAGTATGAGGATTCTCTCGACATGCTTTTGAACAAGTGTCCTGATGCAGTTGTTTTATATGCTCAACATGAACTGAAAGATGAGAGTCGGGTGAGCTGCTGTTGCTAAACTCATGCATTTTTTTTAAACACTGTTATCCCTGTTACATGTGCACAGCTGAAGAGATCAAATAGCCCTGCTTTCAGAGCAAAATGCTTAGCTTGTTTTCAGCTTCTCACTTTGTACTGAAATTTCATAGCTGAATCCCTACTAATTTTAATGAGAATATATATTTCTTTCACAATTCCTTAATAAAAATGTGACTGCTTGTATTAATTTTAGTAAAGAATCATTCAGATGGCAGAGTGCCTCAGAAAAGAAGAATAATGTGCTGTTTTTTTCCACTGTAAATAAAAAGCCAGTCTCACCAATCAGTGTTCTAAATAATATTTGACAGCATTGTGTAATATATCAGATTTTAGTGATAAGCTGGGAAATGATGGTCCTTCAAATAAAACCACTTTTAAACATGTTCTTCAAGCAGCCTAGTGACACCTGACCTTATAGCCTAAGAATGATACTAGTTCATTAAGGAAATTAAATTATATTCCTTATGTCCCACTTTCTCAACAGAAAGAGCTGTCCCACAGCTGCTTAATGAACTGTGCACAGTTCTGCTTGCTAGAATCGGCAAAGTTGATTCCCTGCCACCTGGAGATACCAGTGTTCCATTCTAAAACCAAATTACTGCTTATTTTCAGATTTGAAAGTAGTTTTTTTGATTGTTTCCATGTTACTGGTAGAATTGAGTGTGAGGTTACAGTACTGAACATGAAGACAGGTGCAAGAAAAGTGTTACCATCTGTGTAAGAAAAGGAAAGAAATCCTTTCCCCTCTCTGTTCTTACAAAAAGTACACAAAAAAAACCTAATCCACTACAACTGATGGATTGGGACAGGTAACAGAGCAGGGTTCTAGTGTTTACCACTTACCTATCACTTTGCATGAAGTTGTTTGGAAGGAAAAAAAAAATCTTACTTTTCTTACTGCATCAGTGTGTCACTAATTATGTATTATATACACATGTTCTGAACTATAAGCTTTCTTATCTGTAGAGGTGCTGGAAGAGGTTACAGTTTAAATATTAAAGTATAAAAGTGAAATTTGAAAATAATACTTATGCAAGAATCAAATCATTATATAAACTAACTCCTGAGTTCATCTTAACCTAAGGGCAGTTGCACACATCTGGTCTTAGTTCGGTATATCTTTAGCAGGTGTTTTAGGGTTTTAATTGCAGGCATTGTTAGTTCACACTTTTAGTTTGTTGTTGTTGATGTTTTGACTTAGGCTCTGTGGTGGAACAGGCTGCTTCCTGAGCTTTACAAGAGAACCAGACTTACTGGAAATTACTGTCCCGTTCATATTTCCTCACTTAAAGGTAAATATCATGATGACAAGGAGGCTCAAGAAGCCCCTGTATGGCATGCAGTGCTCTGAACGTTGTGCAGGCTAATGATTATCAGTGTGATATGTGGAAAGAAGGGACCCCTTTACATGGGCGAAGCTAATCCTGCTCAGCAGCTATTGAGATAGTTGGGCAGCATTCTGCAGTGTGCAGAACACTTCACAGTGCTAGTATTACCTCGTTATAAGTCATGAAAAATACCACAAAAAGCTCTCAGATAGCAGGAACAGTAATTGCTCTTTTTTCTAGGCTAAGTGTCTAGGGGTGTAAGCAATAGCTGTCAGGCTATTACTCATCATCCTATGGAGCGCTTAAGTGTCCTTTTATGATTGAGCCATAGATTGAAAAGCTGCTGTGTGTTACTGATAGTTGGCAGTATTAAGCAGAAGAAAATGTCGTCGTTCATTTTTGGGGGTTGGGAAGGGGGTTGCTCCCGGCTCTTTGAGCAGTGGAAGTAAAGCAGCAGAGGAACCAGTCCTGAGCTGACATAGTCCCAGTGTTAAGTGTTTGTAGGAAGACAGTAATAATGCATAGTTGAGGGTCAGTTTGTGTGTTTTTGATGGAATAAGAAGATTGAATGAAAACAAAACTATCTCTGTTGTCTGTTCTGAGGGCAGAACAACAACACACCTGGGTTGCATGCTGTAGAACAGGTTGCCAAACTGTACCATAAAGTTTCAGTTTCTAGTGACAGATTTTTTCTTTTCAGTATTTTTCACGCAATAACTTTGCATTAATCAGAACATGCAATCGCAGAATCCCAGAATGGTTCAGGTTGACAGGGACCTCTAGGGATCATCCAGTCCAACCCCCCTGCTCCAGCAGGAACACCCAGAGCAGGGGCACAGGGTCCATCCAGGCAGGTTTAAAGATCTCCAGAGCAGGAGCCTCCACAGCCTCCCTGGGCAGCCTGTGCCAGGGCTCTGGCACCCTCACAGGAAGATGGAACTGCCTGGGTTTCAGCTTGTACCTGTTACCCCTTGTCCTGTGGATCTCAGAAGCTGCTCACAGCACATCACATACTACAAGTTATTCTGAGTTAGGGTACTGTGGTATATTTCTAGTGCTTTCTTTCCACTTTGTGCAAAACAGTTGAAGTAACAGGTCAGAATTCTGTAAGCATTAGTGCCACACGTAGACCTGATGAATAGAGAGAGAGGTAGGATTTCCCTCTGAGATGTATTTCTGTTTATATGCTCTTTCACCTGAGATTTTTTTTTTTTTTCATAATTGTGTGTGGTCTCAAATTTGATTCCAAGTATAATATTTAGATAATTTGATGACTTTAATTAGTAATGACATTGTTAATGGTGGTTTTTTGTTCCTTTTATTTTTCTTTTTTTTTTTTTTTTAACAAAAATAACCTCCCTGTCCTGGGCAGAAGCTTTATCAGTTGTTACAATGGAATTGGAACTAAGAGATTTCCTCAATGTTATACCAGAGGATGGAACTGCAGCATTTTTCCTGCCACATCTTATTCACTGCAGCCAAAGGAAATCATTGACCTAAAGCCAGTGAAAATCTACTATGCACTCAAATACCGAGAATGCGCTGGAATGAAAAAGCAAATGGAACAGTAGAACTACGCAGAAAGCTTTGTGGGGCTCACTCTACACGTCAGCCACTTTATATCCATGTTGAAACCTTAGCATGGAAACTACTGTCTCATGCTAAGCATTTCTTTTGACAGAAAAAAAAAGTACTATTGCACATAGACAGAACTTTGCTATCCATAGGAATTCCTGTCAGGTAAAACTGGATGGTGGGTCATGAGGTTAAAAAGCACAACTATTCAGCTATTAGATGTAGGTCGCTCGTCTCCTAAATGAAGCTAAACTTACAGCCAAAGTGCTTAAAAAACTACTGACTGTACAATACCATTACATATTTAGTGTATGCTAGAAGTAAAGCATACATTAGTAAAGTCAGTCTTAATTCCCTGCTAGTTAATTGGATCATGACCAAGGGGTGGGGGGCATGTTTCTAATTGTGTGCATAAATATGCTTGACTTACACTTGAAACTAGGCCCTTCATTTTGCACCATAGAAATTCCCTGGACTTCCAGCTGCCAAAACTAGTCATCTCAGTAATGTGTCTATGTGGAATGAACTACCTGGTGTGCTGCTTGCTTGCTTTTTGTTTGTTTGTTTTCTTTTCCCATCTGCTCTCATTGTCTGTTGCATCAATAGATCACAAAAGCACAAATCCACCTGAAAATCCTCTTTATCCCACTTATCTGTCATATGTGTGTGTGTGTGCAGATGTATGTACTAATGTTTTTCTTTTGGCAGACTGAGCAGAAACCCTTGTTCTATTCTTCCAGCTGGCACTTTAGCATAATAAAGTATCATAATACTTATGAACTTCTTAAGAACACAGTTGAATTTTTTTAGAACCTACCCCAGTAAAACAATTGCAATGTGCTCCTTTAACCATGTAAAAGCTTCATTAGCTGGCAGTGGTGCTGTCAAATCTACTTTCAGTAAGTGTCCTGTTACTTAAATGGCTAGCATTCAAAGGATATCTCACCTGTGTTCTGAATGAAACATCAAAAAAAACTAAAGCTGTTGAACCTTTCTGTGTGGTGTGTTAGCAAAGCCATACAGGCTTCAAGACCTTCTTTGGGCCCTGTTTTGATGCAGAGAAGCAACTTACTTTTAGTGCTGGTGTTGTTTGAAGTGGAAATGTTTTCCATTCTTGCCCTGCTTGTTCCCCTCCCTCCTGTTTTATACTGCTGAGGGTTCACTGGAGCAAAGGGGGGAATAATAAAACACGGCTAGATGATGCTTGCTCATACTGCTGTTTTTTGACCAGAAATGGTCATGCAGAAGCAGTGCTGCATCTGCCTGTTAAGAATAACTGCTTGATTTAGGTAGCAGAGTACTACCCAGCTAACAGCAACATGATTCCACTGCTGTCCCTGTTCAACATGCATCAGGGCAAAGCTCCTAGGTGCCAGCCACCAAATTTTACCCTTACACTCCCTGAATTTCATCAGGCTCAATTCAGCATAACTCTGCCCTTCTTATAATTATTTTTTGTAATAGGAAAAAAAAAAATCTTAGGCAACCATGATTAGCTTCACTACATTAAAGTATATTACTTGATAAAACTGTAATTCAACAGAAATATAGGCTTATTTTGTTAAAATCTTATTATACAATCTTACATATGTATTTATTTTGAACCTCTGCCACAAGTGATAGCCTACAACCTAGTTCTCATCTTGTAATAACTAATACTTGACTAGTAAAATGTGATATCAGATCTAGGACAAACACCTGAAACAAATTTTGCTGCCACATAGCTTTATTTACAAATTAAAGAAAAAGGAACTTACACTTCTCTCGTCTCGCATATATTCTTTGTATATATGATAATTCCTAAGCAGTTAAATAACATACATCAGGAGTCACTTAGAATGTGCTAATTACCAGGCCAGATTTTTTTATTTTAAGGAAAATGTAATGTATGTAAGCTTATGTCCTTACAACTGTTGTATCATCCAGCTGTCTCAGTCCATGAGCTTCCTGTTAGAACTGGCCCACTGAATGAAATCTTCAAAAATCCATGCTAGGATGGATGTCCAGGAGATTGTGTTTCCTAAGAAATGCCTCACTCAGACCTCAGAGGAACCACCGTGGTAAAATGTCTTTTTCATACTGTTGTGTCTGTTGTGCCATTAATTACACTTTAATTAACTGAATGATCTTCTGAAATAAAAGACCATTTGTCTGTAAAAAGAAAAAAAAAACAACAACTTTGTCAACCATTTAAACTTTCATCTGCCCATGGATATGGAGCACAGCTCAAAATGAAAACAACAGATCCCGGTACCTTTTACACGTTGTGAGTTAGGGGGTTTTGTTTGTTACAGTCTTTTTTTTTGCTTCTTATTCTTTTGCCTCAAAAATACACTGAATAGTTCTGGAATGTCTGTAAATAGCTGAGTGTGAGCAATCCAGTGTAGTGCTTCTCTGGAAAAACCCTAGTAGAGTCTACTATATAGTAAAATTCTGTGTGTACATCTCTCTCATTTTACTCTGTCAGCTCTTTTATCATTTGCACAAGTTTGGCATAGGATAGGCCTGCAAATCTCAGTGGTTTATAAAGCAGTACAGAAATAGACTGTGTTTAACGGGCTTTTTTAAAATATACATTCTTTTTACACACACAAAGGATACAAAGGTTTTTTTAGGATTCATCTTCTTTTGGACAACTTTTTTTGTTGTTGTTAAAGCAAGTTAATACTGCCTATAAGGGTAAAATATCCTTTAAAAGGAAAACAAACAGGACTGTCTCTTCATATCTTAACTGGTGAGCAAGATGACTTGAGCTTTATTTACCTGTTCTAGGTTTTGCTTTTAAATAAAGACTGAGATGGAGTTTAACACTATGAACACTTCTAGAGTACGAAAATACTTTAATTCATGAAGTTCTTCTTAAATTGAAAAAGTGTCATTGTAAGCTTCATTGGTGGGAATTTGAAGCAATTGTCAGTTAAGCTGCAGTTTGGCTACTTTTGTTTTCTGAGCAGTATCACTAAGGCAAATATTGTAAGCTAATTTGCAACTCTGGCCTCCATATTATAACATCCATGGGATTCCTGGACTGGTTCTGCAAACGTCTCTGACATGTCTGTGAGACCCTTGTTGCATCTTTAAACACAATGAACATTACAGATAGCTAAGCTCCTACCTTCCTTTGGGAGCACCGTGTAGGTCACTTCCATGCCTGCATGGATGTGATCCGTAACGTGGCAGTGTAACAGCCAGGTCCCCGGGTTCCGTGGTACCATCTCCACCATCTGGAATGTCCCAGGGAACAGGTCAAACACATCTGCCCGATAAACTCCTGTTTGCTGCAGGATGAAAAGGAACAAAGAAACAAGGGTTAAACAGCAAGGCATCACCAGGTGGCAGTAACATATGCAAGCTTAAATGTATATACCCATCAAATTCACAGTATCAGCTGGGTGAAACTATTTGGTCTATTGCATGTCATCGCTACAGGACTCTTGTTTCATAATGCACATGATAAAACTAGCAGATAAAGGGAAAATGGTGTTTGTTATCTTACTGCAGACATGAAAATTCACAGCAAACGTGTCAGAGCAAATTATGAAGTTTCTGTGGTATTGACCTTGTCAGATTGATCAAATATGAAATACCATATAGTCAGATTACAAAACTGCTACTTAATATTTTAACATCTGACTTTTCACAAGAGGTTACCCGCCTCTCTATTTGGTCCAGCTCTCATTCTTAACACGGCAAAAAAATTGATGGAACTGTCCTGTTACCTTATAATCAAAACTGTGGCCATGGAAGTGTGCTGTGTGAATATCTACTTCGTTGCCCATTCCCATCAAATACCAGCTTACTTTATCTCCAACGTGCATAGTCAGACCGTGCAAATTTCCAAATACTTTTCCATTAATGGCTAGAGAGAGAGAAAAAAAAAATAAGATTTTTTTTTGTGTCATACTATTCTCAAGGCTTTACTGAATGCAAGCATTTAAAATACTACTAGACAAAATTGTTTTGAATGATCTTACCAAGGAAAATGACAGCATATTATGAATGGGCCTGATTATATCGTGTATATTTGATATATATCAGGACATGCCTTCAGGACAGACCTGGTATTGTCTTTTTCTTTAAGAGAGATTAACAATATTCTAAGATAGTGCAAGAGATTTTTTTTTCAGGCTTTCCACCCTTTAACTAGAAATTCAGGGGGATGAGAAAGTCAAATTTATATACAGTGCTTTGAAATATATAACTTTATAGAGTTTTGGGATTTTTTAAATTAAATTGGAACCATACCATGCATTTTATTACTTTCAAGGAATTCCTCATCCTCTTTGTCAACAAGGTGTGGGTTGGTAGAGTAGGTTTTAATATTTCTATCCAAATACCACGACTCATTCTCATCAAACACCATAAAAAGAAGAGCAAATTGAACTTTCTTTTTAGCATGAAATGATGGCAGATAATGTCTATGACACACAACAAGTGTGCCTATTAATCCACTGTAAGTGTCCTGAAATTACAAATGAAAGAAAATCAAATAATTACAAGATGTGACTAGTAAAAGCAAAAGCATTTTTAATGAGACATAAATGCTCTTATTATTTTAACAATTTTCAGTATCTGACAATAATTTCTTCTCGCTTTTTTCTACCCAGAGATCTAGTTCAACTGTAACTGTTCTGTGTGTGTCTCTTGCTATAGCCCATGCACTTTTTATCCATTTTTTATTTCTTGTTCTTTTTTGTTTTCAATTTTGTTTTATGTTCCAGGTTGGCAAGATAAGTTGTCTTCTACTCAAAATTTCTTTTACACTTTCAAAATGAAAGCCCTCTTACCACTTTTCCATTTGTCTTTACAAAATATGAAGTATGAGCATTAATTTCAATTTAAAAAGAGATTGGTCAAGTATCCTAATGAATGCTTGTACAAAAATGGCATGTTTGCGTTTCATGGTTGCATATATAAATTTTTGTACAGTATTAATTAGATACAAAGAAAGCTATAAAATGTCTGCTTTAAAAATAAATCTGAAGGTGATATATACCAACAACAAAAGAATGAAGGAGTAAGAATACAACAGAATGGGACTTCCTAATTCTGTCCTGATTTTCCTGCGTTACTCCTGAGACAATTCAAATATATTGAATTGTAAGGGAGGAAGCGGGGTGGGGAGTGGAGACTTGGCAGATAAAGCACACAGCATTTCAAGCTCATTTTCCTTTTATTATATCTGTGAACTGCTGCTAGCATCATACCTTGATCATGTCCACAGTTGAATGGTATGCCCAGGCAATGCAGTGTGGATCACCTCTCCCAGAACTAGATCTCTCAGGGATTTTCCAGGTATACGTTTTTGTTTCACCTGTATGACACAAATGGAGATTTTTTTTTTTTTGAGTTTTTCTGCTTGCTAAGAGGTTGTGCTGAAATAGATGCTATTTTCATTATGGCTTATTTTTGTCTTGAACTTTTTCTTCACAAATACTGCAGTGGTTCATTTTCCTTCTACAGATTCCTAGTTCTTCCTGACACTGTTCCTGTGTGTGACTGCACTGTCCAGTTTACCATGTTTAATAAACTAATGATATCTTTTGTAAAGATGACAGAATAACTTATGAAAGAATAGATAACATAAGCCATACTCTCTCTATATTGCCAAATCTTTTTTGCTTACATGAAGGGTGTAGCCAAGCTCTATCAAAGAAAACCTACTGCTAGGATTAGCAGGGATATTTTTAATGGAGAAACGTAAGTATTAAAACAGCTTCATTAAATCTAAGAGGCTTATGTTAAAAAAGTGTATTTCATGCAATCCTAACTTAAAAGCTTGCTAGATATTACTATAAGGCCTGAAGTTACCCGCGAGAATTAAAGTGGATGTTTGATACCTGGGTCAGTTACTGCAACAACAGCACTGTCTGTTTTCACTCCATGGGCGTGTATAGAATAAGGTCGTGATGCCAAGTTCTTAAAAACAATTATAATTTTATCTCCAGTATTTGACATAAGCAGTGGCCCTATTGGAGTGAAAAGAAAGATTAAATTAGTCTTACAAATGATCAGAGCTGAAAGAGTTTATTATGTTCAGAGATACACGCTTAATTATATTACTTAATAATAATGATCAGAGATGCAGTTTAACTATTTAAACTCAAAACTAGACATGGAAAATATATATTCACTATGATACATAAGCTTTAGTAGCTGAAATTAGGCAGCTAAAGAGGGCTGATTTTTAAAAGTTCAGGGAAGCTACTGTAGATTTGAAGTTAGTTGAGATGTGGCTGCATAATTCTATGACAACTTTGAAAACACTGACCCATGATCAGCCACAAAACCTAAAGGTTTTTTTTTTTTTTTTTGTAAAGCAAGCACCGTAGTGCACAGTGATAACAGCAATTCAACATAGGTTTAGGCACTTAGTATGGTTAGAATTAGGCTCAGTATTACTACAGCAGCGTCAAACAGTTTCATTGCATTTTTCCCAGTTCTGAAACTGATCTTCATGATGACTCTACCTTGAATGCCTAGGTGCTGCTCCTCCTCTGCTCTTTCTTTGGGAGTACTGAATGTCTGATCGATGTACTCACGATATACAACCTTTCTATATTTTGAACCAATGAATTTGTCATCTTGATTTAAAAATGGATTGCCAGGGCTGTGGAAAAGAGAAGATAGGCATGATAATATGTTAGAAGTTTCTTGATGGCTCTGATAACATCTTTTGCAGGTGTATCATTTAACCATCAAAGTGGAACAGTGATCACACAGGCTACTGGTACCTTCAACAAGTGCAATCTAACGATTGTAAAGCCCTGCTTAGGTCCCTTTCTGTATTGAGACATGTGGAGCTGTCTCTGCAGAGAACATGTGACTGGAGACGGTTAAAAATAATCTGATACCATCACAGTCCGTATTACTTGTGCTCAGCAGTATGAAAAAGGCAGCTATGCAGGGCAAGGTGCAATCATGATGAGAAAAAAAACACATGAAAAACACATCTAAGCCAATACACAAATACAGACTGGTACCATCTACTTTAATTGCAAATTAAGCTACATAGGCAGTTGCAGCACACACAATTCATTATTTAGGCTCTCCTAACAGACAGGAATTGATCCACTCCGTTCCCACTAATTGGGGTCCAGATACTAGGAATACACCAAGGCTAAGGCTTTATTTAAACATGTCTGGTATTACCACAAACATCTTTTCTTGTATCAAATAAAGAAATGAAGAGAGTGAAAAAAGAAAACTGCTGGATGAATGCTCAAGATCACATGCCCAGAGTTCAGATAGACACAAGACAAGGACATATTACATACAGTAGGAAACCCACCAAAGGACAAAGCACTTATCCTATCTACAGTGCAATGAAGACTTTAGGCATTCTGCATCAAGGTCTGTGCCAACACTGGCAAAGAATATATAAACAGGCAACATTCAGGATCCACTAAATTCTGCAGGTGCCTCACAGATTTGTGCTGGACCATTTTCCTGAGCATGATGCTGTCTGGTTCATAGTTACATGGCAACATTACTGGGGAAGACCTTAAATGCAAGTGATCCCTGAAAATATGCAAACTTATGCAAAGAAAATGTGTCTCAAAACACCTGGATTTCTAGAAGGAAAAGCGTCACTCCTTTCTGCATTTTTATTTTCTCATCTAGTGTATATTCTACATACCTTTCTTCATGAAATTGATGCCGCTCAAATTCCCATGTCCTGTTAGGAGAATAGTCCCATTCCACTTCCACGGCAGCAATGTAGTAAGTTTTTTCATGCAAATACAGCGATGGGTCCACGTTCCACCAATGGCATTGTTTCACTTCGTATTTCTGTTTCATGCCCCCTGTGTAGTGATCTGTTGTCAGGCATGACACTTCAAAAACTCCTAGACGTTATACAAGAAATAAACCGAAGACAAAAAGGTATTAGGACTAGATCTTGAAAGTCTACTACCTGTGCAAATTTATTATTTAGAGACTGAGACGCTGGGTGTTGCTCAGTTAAGATGAAAATTCTTAACAAATCATGGCTATTCAGGATAGTAAAAAAATCAGCACATACACACGAGCTAGCAAAAATCAAGGCCTGAGCATTAAAAGCTTACTGCCTGTGAACAGTTCGCTGCTTTTCAAACAAGGCTTTACAAAGTTCTGGCACCTAAAGGCTCAAAGCATCAGTTATTTAAAGCTTGGCTACAAACATAAAATGGTCGTAAGTTAACAGTTTCTAAAGCAGGGAACAGGACATTTTAAACCACTAAAACATTAAGAAAATCTGCTCTATTAAATCAATCCTACTGATGCAAAGAGTTGAAAGATAACATGAAACTAAAATGTAAATAGAAAGAAGCAATGCCAATACAGCATTTCTGCATTACACTAGGGAAGACTTGGTGTTAATGCCATAAATTATAACAGCAATCTGTATTTTTTCTCCTTCTAGTCACTTTGTTCTAAATTAATAACATCCTAAATTAGCACTTCTCTCACAGTTTCTTTCAGAAATTACTTGATAGTATTTATTGTTAGACCTTTGTCAGTCGCATGGTTTTATGCGAGTGGGCCAGACTGTTCCCAAAGCAAAGATGAGGTAGGATGAAACAAGCCTCCTTCCCTTGTTTCCCACATCCCATCCCGCACAGGCTGCTCCGCAGGCCGGCACGTGCTCCCTGGCGCTGCACAGCAGGACAGGCTCCGTGGGAACGCGGCCGCACGGGCGGTTTGGCAGCACAGCCACGCGACGTGTCACGGGGCAGCCCCTTCAAGCCAATCAGAAGCGCTAGGATGAATTTCTGCACCTACCAGATACAGGATACTGGCCAAAGAGTAACCATGACATTTACCTTCAGAGTCAGGCTTCATAATGGCCGTAAGAGAAGTATGTGGAAACAGATTTGCTGTATCCCGTCTTGTTCCTTTCATGAGGAATGTGTTTTCTGCGAAATATATTCCATGGACATCGACTTCTGACCCCATACTCATCAAATGCCAGGAAACCACATTTCCTTTACACATGTGAAGGCCAGGTTGATTTCCGTACATATAACCATTAATGGCTGTAGAAGATTTAAGGCAAAAAACCCAACAACTTTGGTTAACACATACAACTGTTCTGCATTACATATTAAATAATACACACTTTGGCTGTACTGCAATGCCTCAGCCTGACAGAAGTAGCAATACTGTAATACTTTATCACATTAGCAAAATTAGACAATTGATTAAGCAAAGCAACCTTTAAAACCCAGTGTTTAAAAGCAGTTTGGTAAAATTCTATCCTTAATATTCCTGCAGGTATTCTGGAAAAAAAAAAAAAGAGAGGAAAAGAAAATGAAAAAAAATCCACAAATGGCATATATACATATATTTATAGTGCAAGAGAAAACAAAGGTTTTCTCTTGTTCCCAGCCACATTCAGCATGTGGGCTACAGAGCTCCTTCTGCCCCATGTCTGCGTGAATGACACATGACAGTGCTAAATGCTCAACGGCCTCGCGAGGCACCCAAGAGCAGGCACTGCCCTGGGAGCCGAGCTGAACGTGAACTGCATGCAGGCGTGCATTTCATTCCAGTGCAAGGGAATCAGTCTCTGCCATTACATAGTCTCTTCTCTAACACAGGGTCACAGTAAAATCTTACGCTGTAAAGAAGTCTTTAGCTGGCTAACTATAACAACTTAATTTCTTACAGTGCATTTTGTTAGATTCTTGGAAATCCTCATCATCTTTATCAATTTTGTCAGGATTTAGTGTAAACATCAAAATATTGTCATCCAGGTACCAGCTGAGATTCTCATCAAATACTGTGGCAAGTAGAAAATATTCCCTGTTCACATTTTTCTGTTGGCAGGAAACAGCACAAAAGACAACAGAAATGAGTGAACATTACAGGAGGAGCTTCTATACTCCTAAGAATTTAAGAGTATAATTTACAAAATAGGATAGATGCATACAGTGATGCTGCCTTCATTCAGATAACCTCTAAGTTCTCTAATTGCTGTAACTGGTTGAAAGGTATCTGCCGCTAATATTCCTTCTACCAGGAGAACCTCTGAACAGAATGAGTACTTTGATCTTCAAAGCTTCTACGTTTTTCTAGTCACTCTCACCCTGTTTGGAACCTGCGTGCCTGTGGCTGCTCACTGCATTGCTGGTTTTGCAAGATGGTGTCTGTCTGTAACAAGATGATTTTTCTTCCTTTTTTCTCCCCGCTCCCCTCTTTTTTTTTTTTTCCTCCTAACTTTTTCTGTTTTGTGCATTACCCTCAGCACATGTGTGAGACAGCTGTGCTGATGGTTGTTAAAGCGACAGCTCTCAGGGCACAGTTCAGTGAAGACAAAGCAGATCCAGGTATGATGGTACAAATGCTTGTTTTTCTTGATAACAAACCTGTTTCCCTGAAGGGAGCAGGGCTCCTTTTCTGCACACCAAGAGAGGACCCACAAGGCCAGAACTGGTGTCTCTGATTGCATCGACAGATGAATAGTAAAGCCAGGTTAGGCAGTCAGGATCTTGGTCTGTAGGGCCCACATCTTCTGGCACGTTCCACTCATACGTAAACATAGCGCCAGGACTCACGTGGGAGGCTGGAGATTCAGTACCTAGTACAAAAATCAATGTTAACATGAATGAATGTTGTTTATTTTGTCCTGGTGGGCTCCAACACTTGCAGGTCCTGGCTGCAGACTCACCTCCAGCGAAGGTGTTGTACCAAGCCCCCTCGTTGCTCTTGAGGTAACTCACACCGTGCGGCTGGATGCTAAATGGGCGGCTGGCGTTGTTTTGGAAAGTCACCCTGATGCTCTCACCCACTTCTGCCTTGATAACAGGTCCTAGAAAGGAGCACAGGGACAGGTTTCGGTCAACTGAAGTACAGACAAACTCCACAATCAAGTGAAGTACAGAGCTCATGGGAGTGTGCGAGGGCTTTCCCTGCACTGCATGGCCGCAGTGAGGATCTCTGCCATGCAACCTGACCCTCACAGCGCCCTGCAGTATCCGAACTGCTTGTACCAATGCTGCCATTCCTCTGGAAGGCCTGGTGAGAGGCAGGTCAGGCTTCCTCCCTGTGGAAAGGACCTGTGCTGTCAACCTCGATTTCATCGCAGCACGGCCCAGAGGCAGCCAGGCCGGGAAGAGGAACAGCACTACAGGGAGATGCTCTCCAGCCTCCCAGTGCAGCTGTGAGGCCTGCACACTGAGTGGTCCTCCTGCAGGTTAGATGCAGGCTTGGCCGGCCACGGCACTGCCACCCAGAGCTTTGCTTGCACCCCAAGCAGCTCCCTGAGGAGCCTGTGGTTGTCCATGTCTGCAGGAGATATGGCCAGAAGCTGGAAATGACCATCCAGTCTTGTAAATCTTTGACAAAATCGTTTTAAATATCTTACCTAGGAGTCCAAGATGCTCATCCTCTGGGAGCCTCTTTTTATGTTCTGTGAAGGTATGATCTGTGTATTCCTTGTAAACAGCTTTTTTATAAGAGCCACCGATTCTTGTCTCACTTTGTTCAAAAAATATCTGAGAATCACTGTGTAAAAGAAATTGTAATAGAAACAAATATTTTAAGTGACATTGCTGTGCTTTTCAATGGCAGCAAGAACCTCATCCTATTTTCTTAGCATCATATGTAAAAACAATCTTCTGAGTCTCCACTTAGTGGCCTGGCCATGTGCTTATGTGCAATCCCACATGAGGATGTGCAGAAATACATTATTTTTCACCACCTTCTCTTTCAGAAATAAATATCCTGCAGTGTTTTTCTTACAGACCCCAGCATGCTTAGAGACTTATCAACAATGATTTCTGTTCTATGTTTCGTAACCCTAATTCTGTACTTCCAGAATTTATTTTTATTAAAGCTTATAATAAGTCCAAGTATAGTAGGTAAAAACACCAAGCATAAGCAACATTTAAATATAGAGAAAGCATGAAGACTTAGTCAGTACTGTATCTTCAAAACAGGAGCTTTCCACATTTCACAAGCACTATTCAAACAATGAAATATGCCTCACCCTTACAGAACTGTCTAGACAGGAGAGAGGGCAAAGCCACATTGTGCAGCAGCCCTTCCACCAGCCGAATTACCAGCTCCGTTTTCTAACTCAGCATAATCAATCATCTTGAACTGTTCAACAACACCGTCTACACATGACAGTACTATTTATCTTTATCTGAGTGAAATTACTAGCATTACAGCAAAATATACAGTAAGATTCCAAGGGAAACAATTGATATAATTTGTTTGGATTTTTACCTTGGCATTAACATTCAAGTAGAGCTGAAGACAAGAAGAAATTCTGCTTAAAACATCAATTCTACCATACTGTTTGCCTTATTTAGCATCCTTATGTCAATTCTTCATGGAAAGTAAAACATTTTAAATCGAGGCATTTACCTGTCAGCAATTAATTCCTGTCCTGTAAAATGGTTCATTGCAGATGGGCCATAATTCCAGATGATTTCTTCAGCAGCAATGAAGTACTGTCTTATCTTTGTACTCTCATTATGATTTGTTGTGGATTTTCCACACTCTCTTACTTTAAAAAGGGCCTGCATACCACCTAGAAAAAAGAGGAGGCAGAAAAACTACGGCTTTATTCTCTCTTCCCCTGGTTCTAACAGCTCCTGCTCTTCCTGGCAGCATTCCCACACCACTGGTGGATGTACAAACCACAGATAAAGAGGAAGATAAATGGCAGGCCACCTAAGCTCGAACGCAGACACGTGACATGGTTATTGATGACAGGCAGACTTTCAGGGAAAAGGGCATTCTGTAAAGATGCATCTGACCTGCAGCTGAAGATAAGATCAGGGCGGACTGGAAACTGAGCACTGTTAGTCAGCACTTGGTCGCAGCAGGAATGACCAGCTGCCTACTGCACCTAATCAGTCACTCCTGGGTCTCTGTGCCCTAGGAGTTATCTGTGGAGAGAGGTCTGCTAGAAAGTCTGATTGCTGGACATATAACCAAAGCAAGAAGAGCCCTTTTACAGCTGTAGATTATGCCAGTATCCTATCTGTAGGGTTTAAAAGTGCCGTCCCAGATGTTTCAGCCAAATCAGGATTCTGCTTGATATAGCTATCTCAAAACTTAAAACCTCTGTGTGGCTGAAGCTGTGGATTAAACATATTCCCTTTAATATCAGAATTTCTAAATCTTGGAGCATGATTTTGAATTCTCTGGTCATTCTTACTTTTATGACAAATGACTTCTCTAACTCAGAGTTAGGGAATTATAGATTACAGAAAAGCATGAATTACCTTATAAACATTTCATATAGTTAACAAACACTAGCAATAGAAGATATAGGAAAGAGAAAGCAGCTTTTCTCTGCTTAACAGCCAATGTGCTTTCCAGAGCATGTATTTATTATCAAAAAAGCTAATTTGTCCGTCCTGTGCCTGTCGTCCAAACTTGTTATTAGCTCCAACTTATTGGTTGGGAAATAGAATCACAGAATCACAGAATGGTTGAGGTTGGAAGGGACCTCTAGGGATCACCTAGTCCAACCCCCCTGCTCCAGCAGGAACACCCAGAGCACGGGCACAGGGTCCATCCAGGCAGGTTTAAAGATCTCCAGAGCAGGAGCCTCCACAGCCTCCCTGGGCAGCCTGTGCCAGGGCTCTGGCATCCTCACACCAAAGAAGTTCTTCCTCACATGGACATGGAACTTCCTGGGTTTCAACTTGTCCCCGTTACCCCTTGTCCTGTCACCGGCCACCACGGAGAAGAGCCTGGCCCCATCATCCCTACAATCACCCCTCAGGTACTTGAAGGGGTTGATCAAATCTCCTCTCAATCTTTTCTTCTCCAGGCTAAACAGGCCCAGCTTGCTTAGTCTTTCCTCATATGACAAATGCTCCAGTCCCTTCACCATCTTCATGGCTCTCTGCTGGCCCCTCTCTAGCAGCTCCATGTCCCTCTTATTCTGGGGAGCCAAGAACTGCCCCCAATGCTCCAGGTCCCTCCCCAGGGCTGAGCAGAGGGGCAGGATCCCCTCCCTCACCCTGTTGGCAATGCTCCTCCTGCTGCAGCCAGGATCCCATGGGCCTTCTTGGCCACAAGGGCACATTGCTGACTCATAATTAACCTGCTGTCAACCAGGACTCCCAAATCCCCCTCCGCAGAGCTCTTTCCAGCAGGTCAACCCCTAATCTGTGCTGGTGCCTGGGGTTATTCCTGCCCAGGTGCAGGACCCTGCACTTGTCCTCGAGGAACCTCATGAGGTTCTTCTCTGCCCAACTCTCCATCCTGTCTAGGTCTCTCTGAATGGCAGCACAGGCCTCGGGAGTGTCGGCCACTCCTTCCAGTTTGGTGTCATCTGCAAACTTGCTCAGGGTGAAATGACTAATGACTAGCTCTAACTACAAAATTTCTGATCACTGAAGCTTATTCTGTACCTTGGATGTGGTCGTTCACTTGGCAGCTCAGCAGCCATTCTCCAGGGCTCCTCGGGACCATGACAGCATCAATGAAGGTGGCTGGGAAGAGGCTCACAGTGTCGACTCGGTGATTCCTTTCTATTAAAGTCTGGCCATGAAAATAGGCTGAGTGTACATCGGCTTCGTTACCCATGCCAAAAAGATGCCACTTTACCCTATCTTCCACACACATTGTGAGGTCTGGGAGGTATCCATACATATACCCGTTGATTGCTGAAAAAAATGTTATTTATTACAGTTACTTTTACAGAGCTCAGGATCTTTTGCTCAGAACAGGATGTCTTGAACCAGTCTTCAAGATGGAAATAGGCTCAAAAGAAAAATGCACACCTTTTAAATAAGGCCAATATCAGACACAGCTGACCTGTAGAGCTAGCTGCACAGCTAAATCTGGAGTCTTCCTGAGAGCCAAAGGGATCTTTTTTGTTCACACTAACAGTGTAAATTTTTTTTTCTGAACTGCAATATTAAAAAGCTAAAATAACAAAACTCTGTTTAGAGTTCCCGGAAAATTATACTGGCGAATAGTTTCTTGGCCACTAGGAATTTTACATCACAGTTTCAAAGGTTTGATTTTACAATATTTGCCAATGTGCCAAACTGATAATGAGAAAGGGGGAAAAACAACAAAAAAGGCTGAATATTATTCCACTCATGTTGTCTCCAAGGCTGGCAGCAAAACATTAGTTGATACCAGTGAGGAAAAAGCAGGCCTCTAAAACAACGTTTTTTTAAGAGGGCCATAATCCTCAAAGAAAGAGTCCTAATTAAGACAAAATGAAATCTATAGTTCATCTTTAAAAGAGACAAGTGATCCAAATATTACTGAGTTACACTAATGAAAAGCAACTGTAATATATATGTCTCTTACAGTGCATTTTATTGCTTTCCTGGAAGTCCTCATCATCTCTGCGAACGTTGGAAGGATCAGAACAGTATGTCCTGATATTGTCCTCCAGGTACCAGCTAAGATTTTCATCCATCACAGAGAACATAAGGATAAATTCAGCAGCAAAGCGTTTATTGTCGTCCTTACTCATGGTACCTGAAAAACAAAATAACAGATTGAACTTTGTTAACATTATAATTTCCTCCATTTTAAGTGTAGTACTTTTAAGGCTGTTTACTTATATTTTGTCACTGTTCTGGAGGGTGAGTGTTTACATAAATCAATTCAATATACTTAGAGATTAGTTTTGATGAATGCTACATTACTTTATTAAGAATTAATATTGCATGTTGCAATAAACTTAAAATTGTTTTCCATACTGTTGTTCATACATCTTTTTGCATTACCAAATGGACACATTATGCTCATATGTGCTTATGGACAAAGCACTCCACAAATTACATTTAGCACACACAAAACTGAACTATATCTAATACTACTAAATGGCAGCAAATTGAAAAGACAAAATGTTACTATTCCAAAATAAAACGGAATCATCTTTGCTTTCAGGAAATACTTCACTTATCCTTATCAATAACCGTTATGAATCACCTTGCATATTTGTTTTATATATTATTTATTTGTTTTTACCTTTCCTGCAAATTAATAAGGGTCCAACAAGTCCTGAGGCAACATCTCTTGGAGCATCTATGTGGGAGTGATAAACCCTGGTTATGCAATCCGCATCTCCGCTTGCTGGGCCTTGATCTTCTGTCACATCCCATACATAAGTATACTGGTCTCCAGGCTTCACAGCATCATCTCTTTTTTGCAAATCTTTGGTGTTGTCAGGATAAAAAGCACCTGAGGAATGGCACACAGCCAGTATTAGCAAAACACGTTCACAATACAGTGTGAGAATGACAGTTGAAAAAAAAGGAGTTGGGGAGGGTACATGAAGCTGATCCACCACCATCTGTTCAGTCTTGCCCTTCGTAAGCAGTAGATTGTCAGCTGTGCACCTGCCATGCTTCAAAGTTGACTACATGTTGCAATAACATTGATCAAACATCTGAACACAGGGAACAAATCTCTAAAAACAGATAAGAAGATATTTCCTTTCTGTTTAAGAGACTCTCCATTTGTCTTTGAACTCCATGGGAATGCTTTTATTTCAGGGGAACAGCAAATTTGGTCCTTACTTCACTGCAAAGGCAAACGTATAATTCCGCTAAAAATAACAACACAAATATCTGCAAAAAATTTGTTAAATACTAATCTTAAAATCTCTCCTAAACATCCCACAGAGCCCCAAGTAATACAGATGCCTCTGAAAAGAGAGTAATAGAAAAGAAAGATGTAAATATTGCTCCACAAAATACTTACTGCATAACACACTCATCTGCTCCCCCAGAAAATGCCTTTATCAAGCCACGTACTGGATACAATGAAAATGACACAAAATATAAGAAAACTAAGTTGAAACACAGGCATTTTCTTTTGAATTAAGTATCTGTTAATACTGCATTTTCTATTACTTCTCACACTATTTTTAAGGCCCACTAGTAAAACTTCCTATGGCCATATTATGGTGTTTCTTGCTTGCAGTTAAGAGCATAGAAATGAACAAACTTGCCCAAGGATTCAGTGAGATGTCAGGGTAGAGCCCAACCGTTAGATTTCACCACGGCATGTCGCATTTTCTGTTTTTCAAAGAGAAGATTAGAATTATCGCTGTTTTTCCTTAGGATGGATGTGTTACTGTCTCTGACAGATTATGTTTATGCCCACAGGTTGCGGTACTTATAAAAGATGCTAGAGAAGTATTTTAGATGCATGAAATATAGAATATGTGCCCGGAAACCACTCATTTTAGTGAAAACTGAAAATCCGTGATTGCTGTGAGAACAGCCATCACCATGGCAAATCATCCCTGACCCGCTAGTATCACTACCACACATCTTAACATATGTCAGACTTCTGTCCCATTAATTTATCTACTAAGCAGCAGCTGGTTCTCCACCATAAGGATTTCACGTACATCTCATACATAAATGCAAGTTAATAAGTTATCACTGTTAATAATACTTTCTTTGACATTGCATCAGCTTTTCCTTCAGATACCCTCAGAACCTGGGTTTCATATTACCTTCATTTCATGTGAAATGTTGAAAATGGCCTTCATAAATCTTCTGGAATTTGGCTCTTCAAAAATATCCAAGTTCTTAATTGACTCCTACTTTAAGCTGATAGTTTCTTGCTTTAAATCTGTGTTTCTGTGAGCAGAACTCTCTCTGGTGGTGAAATGACACTGACGCCCCAAAGAAGGGCTAACTGCTGGTAACTTCTGGCGCAGACCAACTCACTCTTACCTTCATTTTCCTTGGTATATGTAACTCCATGGGGATGCAGAGTGTAGCTTCTGGAAGCAAAATTTTTCAAGTGGATAACGATGGAATCACCAACTTCTCCCTTAATGACAGGGCCTAAAAACCCCAGCCAGGAAGGTTTCTCAACTACCACATCATACAAATTACTGGTGTATTGAGTATAGACAGCCTTCTTATAAATGCTTCCTATCCTATGTGGTCCTTGTTTGAGAAAGACTTCAGCATGCCTGCGGAGAAAAAACAAATCTGCATTGCAATGTCAGCCACTCCTTTTTATATTTAAATAGTGTTAATTAACAGCATGCTGAATAACGGTTGTGCCTCTGTAGCACTGTACGCAGCTACAGCTGTGGTTAGCAGAAAACATAGCTCTGAACCTACAGCTAGCCACACAGAGAGACTTAATGTTACACAATAGCCTGGATTTTTTTATGAATATTTGTAGGATTAAGATAATGTCATTTCATACAATTTCGGGCCATCCACGTGTCCATGAAAATAAAAAGTGTAATAAAGGGGGAATCACCAGCATTACATTGCATCTCTCTCAGTTTGTAAGTGAAAAAAATAAACTGATTGCTTCAGCTCATGCTTGATAAAATTGTAAATACAGGCTGAGAACTTGCTGGCTCTCACAGTGGAGAAAAGACACGACAATTCAAGCGCAGAAGCAGAAGTTGATTAAAGCAGGAAATCTTTTAAATATTTATCTACCAGCTAAATGAGGAAGGTATTTTCTAGATAATTGTCATTATTTGCTCTTTTTTTCTTAATTTGGTCCTAGTAGGCATAAGGTAGGCACAAAAATCTCAAGTCTATCCACAATGCGTATCTGAGTTTTCCATCTGTTGGTTCCTGCCCCGAGGGGTCTCCTGCTCCTCCAGGTTACTCAGGCTGCTGCTCCCTCCCTCCAGCCCTCTGCACACCCCGCGCCCAGCGCAGCCGCCACGGGCACGAGGACTCAGCTGCACCGCGACACAGAACGGGCACTGGCAAAGACCAACCTCTGCAAAGGACATCTCTGCTCTGCAGGGAAGTCTGAACACAAAAGCAAAATCCTTCCCTTCAGCAGTGGCATGTCATGCAAGCTGAATCATCACTAAACTTTTGGATTGTTTTTCTAGCCTTTCCTTCTAAGGATTTCATTGCAGTCAACTCACAAAAAACATTTGCTTTTTATTAGTAGAGAGTTGGAAGTTACTTCTTAAGTAAGCTAGGGAAAAAAAAATCATTTTATGTCTGACAGAAAATCCACTGACAAGAATATTATCTGTTTCACCAACTTCGCCAGATTTTCAGACTGATCTGAGTGTCTAAAGTCAACAGTGCTGAAAATGTAAACTCTTAAAACTGTGTTACTTACTCTTCTTCTGCAAAGAGCTGCCCAGATATGATGCTTTTATTGCCCGGTGCGTAGTTCCACACTGTCTCCACAATCCCAATATAGTACTCTCTGGTAATCGCCCCTGCTTGGCAGCAGCAAGAAACCAGCAAGCAGCTTAGGAAGAACAGCTTCATATTGCATTCGTGCACCTCGTGGAAAACGTGAAATAAAAACAGAGGGTGGGCACACGCAATTTCCCTTTATATGCTCAGTCGCTCCCAACCCCCCTGCCTACGCTCCCCCACCCCCAGCCCCGCTCATTTGCTTTGCCAAACACAATAAAAAGTTGCACAACATCTCTGTGTGTCATGAGTAAACAAAAGATTCTGGTAACCTCATTAGTTCAGGTAATCTTCAAAGACATTTCTTTCAATTTCTGCAAACATACTATAATACAAACTACTATTTAGACCATAATCAGATTGTAAATCTTGTAACTGAGTTTATGGTGCTGTAGATTTAAATGGACTCGTATAACTAAGTGTAATGGCATTCCACACTGCCTTTACCACTGTCTCTATATTCCGCATCCTAATGAGAAAAAAATGCTGCTGAG